CGATCGTCGGCGTGGAGACGAAATAGAGTAGTGCCCGGTTGAGTTCCTCGAGATTTTTCTGTTCCGGTTGCTTCAGATGCGTCGCCAGTTGACTCGCACTATAGGACAGGTCGGGTCGGCAGGTTACTGCTGCGAAAAGTAGGCACCCGAGCTTCTGTTGGTACTCCTGGATTTGCTTTGCGGGGAGTTTTGCGGAGGTGCTGTTGTTGTTCCCGTAGCGGTAGGGAGTTGGGACCGTAGTCGGTGTTAAACCGAATTTCTTCGCGACGGTGCCTGAGTACTTTCCAGCGTGTAGGTAGAACGCAGTGTCGTCTTCGACGACATTCAGTCCTAGGTACTGGGTCACTTCGTCGGACACCGTGAGTGTTAAGTCTTCTTTCAGCTCCCCTTCGAACCAGGTAGCGATGTCGGTAGTGGAGCCGATGTAGAGCAGGTCGTCGACGTAGACGATGAGTAGGATATACTCTTTTCCCTTCTGCAGTCGGTACATCCCTTGGTCATGCGGCAGTTGTAGGAATCCGATTTTTGCCAGACGGCCGTGGAGATGCTGCTGCCAGAGCCGCGGGGCTTGCTTGATCCCGTATAGGGATTTTGCTAGTCGGCATACTTTCGTAGGGTCGTCGATGAATCCGTGGGGTTGTTCGACGAAGATTTCAGCGTCCACAGGTGCGTATAGGAACGCATTGGCGACGTCGATTTGGCGTAGTGGTAGTGTTTTCGTGGCCGCGACGGCGAGTAGGATGCGTAATGAGGTGTGACGGGAGACTGGAGCGAAGGTTTCTGTGTAGTCAGTTCCGTATCGTTGATCGAAGCCTCGTACGACCCATCGAGCTTTGAATCGTTCGATGGAGCCGTTTGAGTTGGTCTTGATGCGGTATACCCATTTCCCCGAGAGGATGTTCTTCCCGTTGATGCTTGTTGCAGGTACCAGTTTCCATGTTTCTCGGTCTTGCAGAGCCTTTAACTCCTTTTCCATCGCTTCTTTCCATTTTGCTTTATGTTCCCCCCCCAGAGCCTGCGACAATGTTGAAGGCTCTCGCGGAGAAGGCGGCGGCGGATGCTGGACGGAGACCCAGAGACCAAGGATCTGCAGTCCCGTGGGTGTGTGTCGAGGGGAATTTTCATTCCCGGAATAGGCTGCTTCGTCACCGTCTTCAGGATCAGGTAAGAAGTTGGGGCCGATGCGTTCTGAAACATTTGTGTCGACTGGGTGGGGTGTAATGTAACCTTGGTCGGCGAAGTGGTAAAAGGTGTCGAGGTTGTTACTAGCGAGGGGATTGTTTTCGTCGAGTGGAACAGGTACGGAACAGAATGGGAGTGGTCCGGCAGCTTCCGAGGCTCCAGGTACGTCTTCTTCTGCTGCGTCAGCTTCGGCAGCACGGTCGGCGAAGGAACGAAGTCCCGAGAAGCCGTCGGTGGGGTCTTGTGTGTTGGCAACGTTGTCCAGGTAATGCTGCAGCGTCAGTCGCTCGTAGAAGATAACATCGCGTGATGCCACCGTGTTTTTGTCTTGTATGTCGAGAATTTTCCACGCGTGAAAATGTTTGGCGATGCCGAGGTGTAGTCCCCACCGAGCTCGTTGTGTGAAGCGTCCTGCTCGGGCTGTGTGGGGCCTGTACTGTACCATGCAGCCGAAAACTCTGAGTAATTTTTTGCTGCCCCTTTTTCTTGTCCACAGCAGGTGCGGTGATGCGTTGTTGGGAAGTGATGACGAGGACAACAGGTTGTGCAGGTGAACTGCATGTGTCATCGCGTCTGGCCACAATGTGGTGGGCAGCCTCATCCCCAGAAGCAGTTTTCGCATCGTCGTCTGCAAGGTCCGGTTCATGCGTTCTGCTACCCCCTGCTGCTGGTGAGCATAGGGTAGAGACACCAGGCGTCGGATCCCTTTTTCCGCCAGATATGTCCTGAAGCGTTGTGACTGGTATTCCAGTGCACCGTCTGACTGGAAGCTCTTGAGCTTTGTTCCTGATTCTCGTTCGGCGATGGGGAGCCATGTGGTGAAGGCCTCGAAGGCTTGATCACGTGATTTGAGATTGAAGTGCCAAACGTATCTGGTTGCTGCGTCGATGAATGTGATGACGTAGTTGAAGTCGGCTTCGGTGTCTTCTCGAGGCATGTTTAAAATATCGCTGTAGACCTTTTCCATCGGAGCGTAAGTAGGTGCGCTTGGGTTGTGATGAGATGGGAAGGGTTGATGAGGAAGATCTGCTTTGGGGCACGTGAAGCACCGTGCTCGTGGTCGTCGAAGTTCTTGGCCGCTCGTCGTTAGAAGGGCGTTGCGTTCTAATACCTCTGCTTGGATTGTTTGTAGTATCGTGCTGTTTGCAGGATGTTCGAGACGTTGGTGCCAGATGTCGTCGGAAGCGCGATGACCGGGCGAGCGGTGGTAGATGTCGGCGTTGGAGAAGAACGCAACGACTGAGGCGGGACTTCGACAAACTTCTCGTGTGGTGGGCATAAGCTGGTCTGCTTCGGTTGGCGGTCCTCGGGTTGCTGGTGGTGGGATTCGGCTGGGTCCGGCTGCCGATACTGCAGGTGATGGTTTGGTTGGGATGCTTGCGGGTACTTGTCTTTCTTGTCTGATGACCGCTAATGCTCGTGTTCTCTCTGCTGCAGGTATGGTGTTGGAGTGCCAGAAGCCGTCACTGTCCAAGTCGGGATCGAGATCCGGCGGGTGAGTCCAAGCGGCGAACGATACGATACCGTCGCTGTCGGCAGTGCCGCGGTCAGGGACGAAGTCCAACAAGAAGACGCCGGACTTCAGGAGGGCACGACCGATGAAGAGGCCGCCCTTCCCGTGGTAAAGCCGAAACTCGTTGGAGTAGGAGTCGCACTCCAGGTGAATCCCCTTGGCCATTAGTTGGCTTACGCTTAGTAGGTTGTATCCCAGATTGTCGACAATGAGCACTTTGTTAAGCTGAAGTATGACGTTTGTCTCCATGGATTGTAACTGAACCACGCCTTGTCTGTTTGTCTTCAGGTTTTCGTTGTTGGCGACGGTGATGACGACGTCGCGGTTGAGGCGTTTCTCCTGTTGCACGAAGCGTCCCGAGGAGCACATGTGTTGACCGCAGCAGCTGTCCAAGAACCAGGTGTTTCGCCCGGTGGGTTCGGCGTTGGCGACCGCAGCATATGTTGGATTGACTTGAAGGCCTTGTGAGCGCGGTGGCGGCAGCTCTTCTTCGTCTGGCGCGTAGGTGGGTGGTGATCCGGGTGCGCAGTTGTCGATGTGTACCATGCAATTGATAATGTTTGGTGTTTGTTGTGCAGATGTTGAAGAGCGCCTTGGGGGACTTGCTTGGGTGGAAGCGACTTGTGGGTCTGCTGGTCGGTAAACGCGAGGGCGGTTGCAGTTGACCTTGGAGTGCCCGGAGGTCTGACAGTTGTGGCAGAACGGCGGCACGAAGGTGAGTCCTCTGTTGTCGCGTTGATCCTGCTTGCCGCGTCGATTGTAGTTATTGTCGTTCCTTCGTTGAGTATAGAAAACTAACTGCTGCTGCTTTCTTGGTTGTCTTTCCTCGAACAGGTCCATCTCTTGTTGTTCAGCGTGAAGCTCGGCACAGAGGTGCATCTCCGAGATTCTTCCGTGGGCGCGAAGAAGCGAGCGGGTGGTTCTCCATTCTGGCCCGAGCCCCGCGAGGACAAGTGTCACGAAGCTTTCTTCAGTGATTGTTCCTCCGCACCGAAGCAGGCGGTCGCGGAGGGTCTGGCAGCGACTCATATACTGTATCGCCTTTTCCCCGGTCTTCATCTGTATTGTTGTCAGTTGTTGCATGAGTCTGCTTTGTGTCACGCTGTCGTTTGCTTGGTAAAGGCACTTGAGATGGTGCCATGCGAGCTCCGCGGAGTTTCCATAGCTCCTGTATGTTCTGATGCTCTGCTGCTCTTGTGGTGACAGGTTTCTCAGGAGAACCGTATACGCCAGCAGCGACTGATACGTGAAGATTTCTTGTTCCTTTCCAGTGCCGTTGCTTGGGAATGGCAGGGACCCGTTGAAGTATCCCAGAAGATGCGCGGCCTCCATCAGCAGCTCGAATTCGAAACTCCAGGTAAAGAAGTCGTGTCCATTGAACGGTGAGGATGTCTGCAGTTTTATCACGTGCGAGAACTGCGCCTGGAGACTTAAGATTTCGTTTGGCGTTTGTTGTGATGCAGCTGCTGTTGGTTGGGCACGGGGCGGCATGAACTCGAACGTCCCCGGTGAAGAGTGATAAGGCGCAAAGGTAGGCGCTTGATTGTGTCGCCCAAACGATGAGTTGTCGAGGCTCATCGGCGCTAATCCCATGTTTCCTCCTTTGCTCTGTGTCGAATGCGCAGGTGTCCTTGTCTGCTGCTGATGGTCGAAGTGCGACATGAAGCTGAAGAACCTTTCCATAAGGTTGGGGTCCACGCTTGAAGAGGGAGATGGGGTCACCATCTCTGGTACTCTTCCCGTTGTTTCTTGAGCAGTCCCGGTCTCTGTCTGCAGTCCTGAGGTGTGCAGACCAGAGTTGCCGTGTTGAGTTTCTTGGCCGCTGGGCGAGCCCGTAGAGACTTTCTTGCCCTTGCTGTCCATGTCTTGTAATCAATGAAGTCGTTGAATTGAGTTTGCAGGTTGTTGATGGAGCGTAGTTGCTGGGAGTTTGGTCTCTGACTAGCTCTCATACCATGTTGGGCTGAGAAAAAGCCCTTAGGATCTTTCCAGAGACTAAGTCCCAGTTGTAAAGACTAAGACTTGAGTAGTGCAGCGGAAGTTGAGACAGTTGAACCCTTGTACTGGTATATGAGAACAAGTGATTGATTAAAGAAACAAGCATACAACAATATATAGAAGATAAGAAAGCAGTTGTAGAGTACAGTTATAGGAACGGTTTATCGAGTCGCACAGCGACTCGATTGCCGCTTCGGTTACCATCCGTGATGTTGTAACGGTCAGTCGCAACCTCCAGTTGCGACCTTTCGAGTCTTTTCGTATTCTTTGTCCGCCCCCTCGTGTCACCTCCGTTGACTCGCGTGCT